TTTGAAATAAGTTCCGGCTAATTACTGGGCCACTGAAGGAGTTTAATAAGGAACTGATGACAGATTTTTAGATAAATGAAATGTTCAGGTATTTAACTTTTGAAAAATATATACGTTTGATATATTTCCATGTCTGTGTGCGGATTTGCACAGGGGCAAAATGTCTGGGGGCGTTTCTGTTTTGGGTCACCGGTTTTGCTTGTAAACTTCCGGTTGTCAACTTCTTGGCGCTGTGACACTCCAATATGCCACTAAACCTACCAAAAAAAGTCATTTTGTAGCCTTTGCATGTATTCATGAATCTAGACAGTTGTCACTAGTTTTGAACTTCAAATATTAAAGTTATGAGCTAAAATGTTTGGTAATAGCATATAGTAAATGATTTAGTTGTGTGAGTCCTTTATAACTTTTACTAGACTTTTACATTCTGACACAGACCTATGTTGCGTGCAGCGGAAGATTCACTATATGGCGACTGTTCGTCCATACCGTAATTCAGACGCAGATTAGGTGGTGCGAACACAAAAAAACAGATTCATAAGATGAATTTGTTTTAATATCGAAGACCTCGCCGTTGCTTATTGTATTGATCCTATAATGTAATTGTCATTTTCTTTTAAAAGGTAAGTCAACTAACTGTCGTCTTAAACTTAAGTCGCAGAAATGGTTACAGTTTACAATTAAATCGAAAATAACCACGTTTCAACCATAAAACGATAAGAAAATTTGTACCAGGAAGTACACGTAAATGAGAACAACCGACAGGGGCCAATTAGCATAACAATGATTCTCGTCGTTGCCTCTACGATGTGGAAGTGTTTACAAAATTTCAACTCGCAAGATTCTGTGTCGAAAATGCAAAGTGATAATTAGTCTGTTTTTTCCGGATATATTAGTAATCAAAATAGATCGTCTTAATCTAATCTTATATTGATGACAAAATAAGGGATTTTGACACTGATGCTGATTCATTTACACAGTTTGACAACAGAGGACGCAATGACGTTGTGGTATTTGTTATGTATATCTACATTGGTGAATATGCACAAAGGTAAGTGTATTCCATTACAGAGAATCTTGTACCGAGGAATATCTAGGACTTCCCATTCTAGGAATCTCTAAATAATCGTAACTGGAATTGGCCTATTTATAAACGTTGTAAGAATCAAATGGTCTGGTGGTGTTATTCATTTATATGGGTGTGAATGTTGGCAAGAAATGATAGCGACAGTTGTCAAATTTCTAGGGCAGTCCGTCCTTTCTGCAAGACAGAAACATGAGATCAACAGTCAACATGAAACAGTTTTACAACATTAATCACTTGTTTACAATATGATGTTTTGATCGTATATCCCCTCGGTTTGCTTGTAACTGGAGGCTAACTATTGTGCAAACTTCATCTTGAAATTGTAAGGTCAAGTGTGTTGATAGAAATCGTGTATATAAATCTCTCATACGTTATCTGGAGCATGCGTTTTGTGGCAATTGTAACTTAAAAGGAATTAACTGTTCACATAGGTCAATAACTTCAGAAGTCGACGAAACACAGTGGTAATGGCAGAATTTTAATTGAAGATGTTTTCTAGCTGTTTCAGTCAAAATATAATATTTTTGGTATGTTTTCAAAAGATGTTTGTCATTTATTTGCGAAATATCATAAAATATATCCTGTAATCAACTACAATTTCTTCCCTTCGAATCACGTATTTTGTAGGAACGATTCCTAATAAAAATTATTCTGTCTCTCCTCCTTTTTTCCTTTCCTTCTTTCCTTTCCTTCCTCCTTTCCTCCCTATTACACCCATTATGTTACTTCTTAATCAAGGACTTGATAAGGTTTAAAAACTTTGTGCAAGCCATTTTTTGTATAAGTATTTTTAGTACAAAAATAACATTAATGCTATTATTATAATGTTTACTCGGTGAGGTATATAGCTTAAGAAGTTTATGGAAAGAGGGATAACTCTTCTCCAAAATGTTAACTTCTTGTTTTTGTTAATGAAAATTTGTATTTACAATAGATGTAGCTGGGACAGTATGTTCTGAAGCCGTTACAAATGGAACAACAGGTAATAACTAACACCCCCACCCCATCTTACCTTTCGAGAGATAGGGATGGGTGTTTATGTTAAAGACCACATATTTAAAGGCTCAGACAACTTGAAGAATAAGTCGTTTGTTATAACTCTTGTGATAAAAAATATTTATATAATAGATAGGGATACACTTACTGTACATATACAAGTTATATATATACGCATATAAAAAATAAAAAATAGTTTTTGTACCTAAATACACCAAAGGAAAGTTTCGAGAATATACTTTCGCATGGGGAAACCCATGCCTTTGTGAATATATATAAAAAAATCAGGATGTATGGCATTCCAAAATATATCGTGTAACAAAGTGTGTAACATTTCCGTTAGATTAATACATTTTGTATACATGTATGCGTGTTGCTATATTAATATAAAATTTAGTTTATAATGACGTCATTATGAGGTAATATGTTCTTATATTGATCTTTATTTTAAAGAGGATTTTAAAATACTATTCTTTTATCAGCCTATTACAATGAGGACACCATATTTGTTTCGGGGACTGACTTCAGGGTTCCCCAACCCTTAAAAAAAAATATTATAAAAAAATACAAAATACAATGAAGATTGACAGTGTGCTACCACCTGGGCCCGTATTCATGAAACCGTTATCATGCTCAAACTCAATTTTTTGTTCGGTTGGTTAACTAATAAAAAAATCACATTTTTCAGCATTTTTGGAAGAATTATTGAGAGTCTTCAAGTTTTTTTCTATTTCAAACATTAACACTTGACTATCTCACCGTGTCACATGATATAAGCAAACTACAAATCTATGCTTGAGTATTTAGAATGGTTTCATGAATAATGGCCCCGACTTTATATAATCCTCATATCTAACTCTACTCACACATACGTTAACCAACACCTGCTTTTACTAATAATTTAAAATTAACTTCATGAAAACTGACTTACCAGATATATGATTTTAGACTCCGACGTACTCGTAGCTAAGGTTCCTCGTCGAATGATCTTGCGTCGCATCTCTTAAAAGCGTCTTACAATAATTATATTGATAGTTTATGTTTATAAAATAGAAAAATTTAAAGAGCACTTGACAGGTTTTTTTTCTAGAATTTGTCACTGTTTATTTATCTTATATGGCCTTATTAAGGAGATCTGTTCCACTGCTATGTTGCTTTTTCGTATATACAATTACTTCTCCCTTAATTTCGTTTTCGAGATACCTCTAAGACTTGGATACCTCAGTCGGTTAGACCGATAGTTTACCAATCTGAAGTCCAGGGTACAGTAGAAATGGCCCGACTCTGATAAACAAGGCACATGTCGAGGAAATGTAAACACAGCGGATTTACCCTACACAGCACATGACTTGTATACATGTATATATATTTGTAAACTGCATTACATTTACAATACATATAAAGTACTGAGAAGTGAGTAGACTGCTACCCAGGGTTAGAATCCCGTTATAAAACGCTTATTTATCAAATCATAACGCTTCTTTCCTCTTTGTTTTTTTTTTTATACAAGAATGTCGTAAAATGTTTTTTTTCATCGATTTTCAGTGCATTGTTACAGTCTTTGTCCACAGGTGCAGCTTCAGGTCATCTTTACTAAGACGTATGCCAATTCAAAACATCCCATGCCTGTCATGTTATTGTAGCATTCAGTCAAAATAACAAGAAAGAACAAAAAATGCTATCCACTTTTAGTAAAATTGAATTATCCATTGATAACGTTTTGCTCAATTTAGAATAGCTTTTGATTTAAATGGATAATTAACATGGACATCACTAAAAATGCTTACAAAATGAAAATTCATCAACTTCTGTTATTAAAACGACTTTATAGAAACCTTTTTTAGACCAATAACCGTTTAGTTTCAATTCATGCAATGTGCCACGTTTTTTAATTTCAAAACATTTACATTGCTAGATGCATTTATTGGTATATGTAATAAGTTGTTGTCATAATCTTCAGCAATGATTCCTCAAAGCTTCACGGAACTCTTAAGCATCTCACTGAGACATAACACCTTAATATTCACTTCTTCGCTGAGAAAACATGTAAGATAGGTTCATTTGAAATAAGGGTTTGAACACTTGATCGAAACAGCCATATTTGTATTTCTGTTCCGTTATACACTAACTGAGTACAAGGCAATGCACCGCTGCGTTCAGAAAGCTTTAACATGTTTTGATGAATACAATGGTGCTATATTAAGTCTACAATAACATTCAATAGGAATGTTCTACGGTAACTTCCTTCTTGTCGGTCTTGATGTATACAATGTACCAGCTGGACTTTTGAACACAGAAGTTGAAGCTTTGACCGAACGACATGTCACAATTCCCTGCCCTTTTTCAAACAGCGAGGGAAGCCATGGACAGTAGACGAGATGGACTCAATGTACTGGGATATACGTACATGGCGGTGCTTATGTTCGCCTATATCACAGGTAATACGAACGAAGAAGTATAAATACCAGGGACTATTTTGTTTTATAAATATTAGTTTATTAAGAGTAAACCTTCCTTTATTAAGTAGGTATACTATATAATATGGACAGTATTGAGAGGGATGTTAAATATCTGACTTCAAAATGATTCATATTATTATAGCACTAATTTTGTGAAGATTGCTTATTGACTGATCATTTGTTTAGTAACTGTAGAAGGAGAACAACTGTGTTATGGTGTTAACAGTTTGGGCGTATTCCTGAGATACGTACGTAGATGTTATATCAAAATGTTACTGTATACACAAACCATGTACGTATCAAACAACGTGTCGCAACGTTTCAAGACCGACTTGTCCCTTTGTCAATCTATGACTTCGTAAACGATTTGTATTGTTTACCTGTACAACGATTTGATGAAATTGTATATGTTATTTGACACTCGACTCGGGAATTTTCGCCTATCGATAGAGAGTTATACACACTGTGTCGAATAGGTTACTAGTAATGTGTAAATTTAGCCCCTTCTCCTAATATGTCAGTATTGAGTCATACAGATGACTCAGCTGGCACCCCCTCGTCCCTGTTCATGTTTTGCATTTTCCTGATTTCGATTGCTTCTTTGTTTTGTCTCGTTTTCATTTGACATTGTCTCAATCGACTATGTGATTTTGGGTGTAAGCATGATCCGTTAATGCTGATTTATTGTACTGTGAGGCTGATGTTTTGCATGCAATGTTGGTAGAATTGGCGTTGCTAATTTTTTCTGCGTTCTTTTGAGGTTCTTCGAGCCGTGTTCCGATGTTCCTCCCGGTTTTCATATATTTGACTGCTGACAATATTTGCACGGAATTTGGTAAACAACCCCTGTTTTGTCTAGAATGTCAGTCTTGTCTTTCAGGTTCATGAGTAACTGTCTGACTGTTGTCAATGGTCGCAATGGGTGCTGAAATGGTGTTACCTCATCATCCGGGCAAACGCCTCAGATGTCATTTTCGCGTAACTATTGTGACCCAGTTTTGCATTTGGTTTGGTTCTCATTTACTACCTTCTGTCTCCTTTTTTAATTTTTGTTGTTTGAGTTTTTCTATTCAGCTATTTTCACGTAATTAATTGACCAGTCGGGGTATCCACAACGGTTGAATGCGTCTTTTATATGCTGGTTCTCCCCTTGTCTTTCGTCCAGCTCTGTGATGTTGTTGTTCCATCTGTCAAGGAGGTTTTTGGTGGAATGTTATAAACGGGAGCTCTGCACGGTAAAGCACCTAATCGGAAGCCTCAGTTTCGTATTTTTTAACCAGAAATGAAGTATGTGAAAGTAAAAGTAGGAGTTTAATGCCACCAAATATACGTCTGGTTATAGCGGTATTAACATTATTTTAAAAGGTTAAGCATTATAAAGTAGAACATTAATGCATTGTTTCAAACAGGTTATAAACTTGTATTTACTTATGCTATCCCAGACAAGAATTAATATTTCATTATTTAATACATATATTACAGATAAGTGTCTCCAAGGTTTGGACAAGTCAGAACACATTTAGGTTTTATTACACATGTGTAATACGATATTCATTTCATGGCCGTATGACTTATAATTTGATACGATAGACAAATGCTTTTTATTAGCCCATGTACGTTTCATTCGCAAATGTTTGTGAAATAGACGAATACATGTTATGGGCCTGTGTAAGTTTCGTTTAGAAACGTATTTACAAAAGTTATTTAAATTATTCATTATTGTTTTATGTGCTACTACTGAGGAAATACCACAATATTGTTGTTTATACATGTGCTGGCACATGTTCAATATAACTTCTATACCTTGACAATTACGAACACCTTTACAATTTTATGTTGAATGTAAACATACTGATTCACATATCACTCTGTGGTACGCTCTGAAAGCAGTTAGGTACGGCACTGTATTTACAGTGAATTACTTTATATATTTGTGCTGACATAAAACCAAATGACAGTTGACAGGACGACAAACCGGTTTTAATTCTAATCGGTGGGGCTATATTTAAATTATATGACGGTGTACAATAATTACCCGGAATTAAAATAGCATCGTCCTAACAAAATTATACAGAGATTTGAGAGGTTGGCAACACAAACCCATTCTTCTCGGATGAATAAAAAATATCATGGTTTTAATAAATTTGTAATATTACGGTGACACTGATTTTGTTTAATATTTTGTATATTTATTCCTGAGTGTAGAATGTAAGGCGATCATAACTGTAACTTCGTTATATTTACATATCTTTATAAATGGTAAGTCTCGAATAACTAACCAATTATTTACAGGAAATTGCAAAAGACCTCGCCGTTGCTAATTATATTGAGCATTTACTATAATTTAAATAAAAATAGTAAGTCACACGATGATAAGTGACTGGATTTCTTAAGGTTAAGTTGCAGAAATGTACACAGTATATAAATTAAATACAAATATAGCTATGTTTAAACCAAACATATGTAACTTGATACGTAGATTTGTACCAGGAAGTACACGTTAAAGAGAAATACCGACCTTGATCCATTAACATTACAATAATGCTGCTCGTCGATGCGTCACCATGTTGAAGTGTTGACAAAAATAAACCGGCAAGAGTCTAGATCGAATAGGCAAAGCAATGATTTTCTTGGATAATTATCAAAGGAGTTCGTCTTAGTCTAATCCTATATTAATAACGAAATAAGGAACGTTGACACTTGGTCCTGGTTAATTTACACAGTTTGACAATAGGGGACGACATGACGTTGTGGTATTTGTGTCTATATTGGTGAATTTGTATAATGGTGAGTGTATTCCATTACAGAGAATCTTGTACCGAGGAATATCATAATGAATCATAACTGGATCTGGTCTAGTTATAAACGTTGAAAGAATCAAGTGGCCTGGTGATGTTATACATATATATGGCTTGCTTGTAACTGAAGGCTAATTATTGTGCAAACTTCATCTTGAATTCGTAAGGTCAAGTGTATTGAAAGAAAAAGAATTAAAATCAGTCATACGTTACCTGAAACATGAGTTTTGTGGCATTTGTATCTAAAGAGGATTTGTCTTTAGCACATAGGTCAATAACTGGAGAAGTAGAGAAAACACAGTCTTAATGACAGAGTTTTAACAGTTTTCTAGATGTTTCAGTCAAAATAAATCTGATTTTGTTTTGTTTTTGTATGTTTTCAAAAGGTCGATTATTTGCGAAATATTATAAAGTGTATCCTGAAATCAAACATAATTTCTTCCCTTATATACACACATTTGTAGAAACGATTCCGAATAGAAAATCTAACTGTCCTCCCTTTTCCCCTTTCATACTTTCTTCCCTTCTTCCTTCCTTCCCTCCCTTCCTTTTACTTCCATTATGTTATTTCCTAATCAAGGGCTTTATAAGGTTTTAAATTTTTTTGCAAGCCATTTTAATATAATTAGAGTAAAATTAGAGTTTATGAAAAAAAGAGATAATTCTTCTCCAATATGTTAACTTCTTGTTTTGGTTGATGAAAATCTGTATATTTAATGTATATAATCGGTCTATAATGTTTCTTCCCAACAGATGCAGCTGGGACGGTATGTTCTGACGCCGTTACAGATGGAACTATGGGTAATAACTAACGCCCCACCCCATCTTACCTTTCGAGAGATAGGGGTGGGTAATTATGTTAAAGACCATATTTTAAAGGCTCAGACCACTTGAAGAATAAATCATTTGCGGCATGTCCAACTCTTGTGATCAAATTTATTTACATAATGGATTACTTTACATATACAAGTTTTATTTATACGCTTATTAATAACACAAATCGTTCTTTTGACCTTAATTTCCCAAAGGGGGGAGTTTTGAAAATAAACCCTCTCATCGTTTTAGCAAACAAAATCAAATTGGCAGAACTCTGGTCTTTGTGAATATAAAAAAAATCGGGATGAATGGCATTCCAAAAAATGTCGTTCACAGTATAAAATATTTCCGTTAGATCAATACATTTTGTAAATGTGTGTTTCTACATTGTACATTAGCATACAAGTTAGTTTATAAGGATGTTGTTATAATGTAATATTATTGAATATGGATTTTTATTCAAAGAGGAATTTAAAACATTTTTTTTTTCTTTTAGCCTTTTTTCAGTGAAACCTCATTTTACCGACACAAAACAGCTGACTTTATAAGAAACCTACTGAGAAAAAGTATATCAACCAACACCTGATTTTACCAATAATTTCAATAAAATAATAACAAATAGATTATTTACGATGTTAGGCCATCGTGTATATCAGACATAAAGTTTTGGCCCTCAGGTCTATCTGCTTGTCTTCAGCGTTATAACTCCGGTGTGCTTGTAGTTTCCTCGTCAAAAGAAACTTGTGTCGCATCTCTTAAAAGTGTCTTACAATAATTTTGATTCGATAGTTTATGTTTATAAAATAGGAAAAATAAAAGAGCACTGGACAGGTATTTTTTCTAGAATTTTCCACTATCTATGTGTCTTGTAGATGTACTAATATGCAAAACTTTCTTGTACTTAGAATTGTGGATGGCCCTATTAAGGATCCGTGTTCCTGTCCCTTGGTTTCGTTTTTTAGAGATACCTCTAAGATTAGGGTACCTCAGTCGGTTAGAGCGATAGTATTCCAAACTGAACTCCAGGGTTCAAATCCCGTTATAACACGTTTTTTTTTAAAACAAATCATAACGCTGTTTTCCTCTCTGCTGTTTTTATATAAGATTCTCACAAGATGGTTTTTTTTTTCAAAACCCATTTAAGCTCTAGTCATGCCGACAACATCGATTTCCGGTACATTGTTACAGTCTTTGACAGTGTACGGGGATCTTAAAAACTGTTAAGTTTCGTAGTTTATCGTTGCATACAATCGATTTTTTATTCCACCCCGGCCTTCTTGATGAAAGGCAGGTGCGCTATCCACTGCGCCACATGACCACGATATATATGCATAGTTTTACCAACACAAGGTTTATCGCCAAGGACTTTACTGACACCTGACTGAAAGTAGATCATGTAAAATCGCATTACGTCTATCGGGTTTGTCTTTTTCTCTCTAACGTTAGGCATGTGCATGAAGCTTAGGTCTTGTGTCGAAACTTACTTGATATATATTCGTCCCGTTATAACTTACTAAAAAATGTGCCTCAAATGATTGTATTGATACGTTTATGAATTATAAAAAAAGTATAACGATAACCGGATAGACACATTTTTTTCACTGAAAGTATATGCATATGTTATATGTATTATTATATAATTCTTCCATAAGCAACTGTATAGTTTCGTAGTATAGAGAACACTTTCTTTAAATGTTGTATTGTTTCAGTACTGAACATGTGTGAAGATGGTAATGCCGTCGGTAAACGCGTGGTTATAGACACGTACGGATCGTCTGCGTACAGAACAGATGGCGGTAGTATCAACTGTTCCTGTACGGCGACAATGACGGGACGCTCCGACGGAATCAGTTCAAATGTTCTATTTGACGATGTCCAGTCGTTATATCCTCCGTCTGGATGTGGAAGCAGCGTTATTTTATCAGCGCACGTAGCAGCTGTCTCGTCTGTTCAATCAACAACTTTCGTTTGTACTGTTGGATTTACTAAATTTTACCTTGGCCAGACAAATGATACATTCATTGTTGTGTGGCAGTCTGGACCCAGTGGAAGTACGTCAGAATACTGTCTTTCATCTACGGCAAGTAAGTCGTGTTTTATGTTAATAACTTACGAAGTTTAGTAATTTTTAGTAATATGCATATTATTGTGTTCTTGTAAAACTAACAGGATAAAAGTTATATCCAATTCTTCATTGGTACTTCCTGTAGTATGTATCATACAAAATAATGGCATTAGTACATTGACATTATCAGAAACAACAGCTGGATCGGTTCCCTGTTTGTGTTTACATTTTATAGAGGTTCCCCAACGGGTACTGATTGGTCGTCATGTTTAATTGACTCGGGTTTTTTTTGTTAAGTTTACCGGGTCCCTTTTGCGATTTAAAAATTCATTAACGTAAGTAAGGTAAGGTTAACATGATAATCAACCATCACGAATTTAGGGCTATTACTTCATGTTATATTATTCAGTGGAATTTCTTCATGGTATTGTCTTTAGCTTAGTACAGGTAAGATGTGTTCAAAGTCAAAGATTAACTTAGTTACTGAATTGAAAAGCAGAAACATTTTTTCGTAATACAAACAGCCTGAAATCTGTATATCTCATTATTTCCTCCTTATGCGGCACGCACGCATTTTGGAAGAGTCAAAAATAATAGTACATGTGTGTTGAAACAAACAATTAGCAAAGCAGGTGATAATATATCTAAGGTTGTTTCCATGCAATAACTGCCTTAAAGTTGACGATTTTAACAACATTCGTTGAGCACATACATGCTAAACATGTTACAGCCAAAGTCCGTACTTTAGTGAAATCTGTGAATAGTTATGCATTCTTAATGAGGATTATTTGTGATAGGCAATTATTTTACAATGCAATGGGTCCACCAATGGGTCGATTTTAACGAAATCCGTTACACTCATTCAAATTGACATATCTCAGGCTGAGTTTATTCCGTGAATATTTAAGCACAATTAATGAGGTGACCATATACTACATCTAAAACATGACACGCACGCGAGGGAAATGCATTTCACAAATTCACTTGGTCTTTGTATTTGTACATGTATATAGGATAATTGCCATTTTCATTACAATTAGCATGGATATGACCTTAAACCTCTATACCGTATGCAGAAAATACTTCTTGGTATAACATGTGATACCGGATGTGACGTGTAACCTAAAAAGCACATAGGCAGCAGTGTACAGTAGCGCACGGTGGCCATGGGTGATAATTTTGTACAATGGATAACCCCTGTAATATTACATGTATCAAAATTAATAAATAAAACAGCACTAAAATTGGCATATACATGATGAAGTGGACTATGTGGGCTTCACATTTAAATAAAAAAAATCGAATTTGGTTTGAGACTCCTTTTTTGGTCATTTACAAATCTGTGTTTATACAGCAAAAGCTAGCTTTTCATGTAGTCAATTTTTGTACTCAACACATGTGTAAATATTGTGAAAAATCCACCGATATGACCTATGCTTAAACGTGAGTATTTCTGTTACCTAGAAGGCGATATTTAATTTAAGACAGGTTTTAAGTAAAAAAAATACTACTTGCGTGGGTCAAATTTTGGGCTAAAAATCATGTTTTTCCCCATTTTTGGCGTTTTTTGATGTGGTAACCATTGTTTTCACAAGTCCCAAATCTAGGGAAATCACTCTTCTAAAAAAACTGTATTAAAAATGTAGTTAATAAATATATATATATATGTAGGTGTGTTGTGCAGGATGAATCCGCTATGCATGTTGATCTGAGACATGTTCTTTATTTTAAGGATCAAACCATTTCTACTGTAACTCTGCTACCATAAGGAACATTTAGGGGAGACTTGCAATTTTGATGGTGATATAGGATGTGATACTTAATCTTTATACTGTATACACACTATGCTTACTAATCTATTTATACATTGTGATATATGATGTGATACTCAACCTTTATACTTTATACAAGCTATACCTACCAATCTATTTATACATTGTGATATAGGATGTGATACTTAACCTTTATACTGTATACACACTATACTTACTAATCTATTCATACATTGTGATATATGATGTGATACTCAACCTTTATACTTTATACAAGCTATACCTACCAATCTATTTATACATTCTGATATAGGATGTGATACTTAACCTTTATACGGTATACAAACTATCCTTACTGATCTATTTATATATTGTGATATAGGATGTGATACTCAAGCTTTATACTTTATACAAACCATACTTACTCCTCTATGTATACATTGTGATAACAGATATGACGGGTAAACAAGTACATTCAAGTACAAGTAAACTATAGTTATGAATGTATAATCTTTGTATGAACTAAATTCATGTCTTTCACATGGCTTTAATACCCATTGTTTAGGTACGGGGGCATACTTGTCTGTGAAATGCTTCGAAGTGAATGATAAAAGTGAAGAGAACACCACACCACCACCGACATCCCCTGCTACAGTGATGCTAACGTCAGATCAAAAACCTTCTCCCATCTCTGTGACCAGCCCTTCCACTTCGTCCCTGGCATCGTATTTCAATGGTAAAATATTTAATATGATAAGTCTAACCGCTTGTATGATTGCAAGCAGATTAATTTATTTTCGAACTCATCTATAAATTAAAGTTTACATCCATTTTAGCTGACATGTTTTTTCTACATGCGTTACTTTTTATTTTTCTAAATACTGCACATTTGTTTTATTTTTTCAGGAACAAATGCCATGTGTGCTTGATAATGATAAGTTTATGCAAGTAGATGTAATGAGAAACATTTTTGTCATTGTAATTTGTTTCAGAGAAAAAAATTGAACTCGTCATGCAATTTCATTCAATTGCAGGGTACGATAACAATCTGATAATGTTTAAATGTATTTCATTTGTTTACAGATATAGCTTTGCAAAAATGGACAACAGTTTTGTTAAAGTTTAAAAGGACAGGTTAAATGATTAAATACCATGATTATTTTGCTTCATTATAGGATATTTTTAAATTATGTACTTGATATTATGTTTTTTGTCTGTCTATATCTGTCCACGTTTATTTTGTCAATTCTGTCTTTGTCTATCAACGTTTTGTTTGTCCATGATCGTCTATTTCCGTCCGTATGTCCATGTTTTAAAGTAAAATTGTTCATGACTGTATTGTCACGTGACGTATGTCTAATTGAGTAAGACGATTGGATGTATGAAAGAAGTATGTATGCTTGGCATTTTATTTATCCGTTTCCGCGATAAACCCACCCAAAAAACACTACTTGATGATTGAAGACAACACCGTGTTGATGACGTCATGATGAGAAGATCAATCTGAGGTAACATGAACCCTAAAATACTGGATATTTACGACTGACTTAAGAGCTATTTACCGGTAATCAATTTACCCAGCATTTTCTCTGTAAATTCATTTGTTTCTTTAGTACATGATGTCGTAATTTATCAACCTTCTATAAACTTGATTTATTTTATTTTCATGGCACTTTAAAACAGTCTTTGCACTTAAATTTTATTCGTTTTCAAACCTGAAGGCAAAGCAACAAATGATGCGATACTACTTATGTTTATTATAAGTTATGTTTAGTGTGAACAATAGTCAGTTAAACATTTTTCAGCAAATTTACCGCGCCATGGGTTTCCTTAAACAATTATTGGTTATATATGTTGTTTATATCATTGTTAGCGTTTATTCTACAATGTATACATTACATATACTATGCTATACATTTATACAAACTCAACAAATGAGTATTGAACAAATATCGTCTCATCATAGGTTTACGTGCGTATGCATTTTTTCGCTGCCATCATTGCTAACAGGATACGATATTTCTTTGTACATACATCAATGAGATTGCAAAATTCTATGCATAGTCGTGGTTATTATCATTAATTTGTGTGTCACTCTCGGTATTTTAATGCTCAGGATAATATACCTGACCAGGAAATGCAAACTTCTACAATATTCTGACTGTCATCACCGTCACGTCATCAACAACATCTTCCAGTGCCATTATGACGTCAGAGGTAGCAGCTACTTATGGACTTAGATAACAACAAGTATCTCCAAATTGACATACATCTCTCTCCCCTACGACAGTGTATCCTACGTGAACCCGAAGGTACGTAGTACTGTAAACTAGAGATGTGTTTACGCTTTTAACGATTCGGTGAATCGGCTGATAAACCAGGACATGAACCATTTATATCCAGGTCTTACTATACAACAAGTTCGAAACCGAAAAATACTTGATGCAAACTTGTATTTGTTCATGATGTAAAAAACAAGATAATGATTGCAAAACATCATTATGGAACCATTCTGACGTCATTTGTATCAGTTTCAACATCAAAGTCATTGATATTTTAGAATGTTGGCATATCCACTAGTCAAATATATTTATATAATCATGAATAATGATTACATTTCCACCATTCCGAACATAAAGATCTTTGCTGACGTCTTACTCAGAGTCACATTTTCAGGCCAGCACACCCTTTTTGGTTACAGCTTCACATACGGGTACTATCTGTATAACGTTACGTCTACTTGACAGATATACTCCAATTCGGTAATACAAAGTGACCACATCACCATACATTGTGTATATTACGATTTTATTCATAATGAGGCACAAACTACTAAGCTTGGTCCTAGGTGTAATGAGGAGGGGAAGGACCACAGTTAACTCAATGCATTTATTGTTATAAAAAATGTGAGGTTGAAATTGTTTTCACTATAATACAATTCTCACTCGTACATTCGGGCAATAAGATCTGTACAGACAGCAATAGTCCTGGTATCTATTAACATGGTAAAGCAACAGAACAGTTTATGTTAATACAACAGTCTGTAGATGGATAGTTTGAATATTAAGTAACAACTTAAATTTAAAAACAAATATATTATAACACGACACTTAGTTTAGGAAATACGTCTTAAATTGGTTGTAATGTCTAAACGTCGCTTTTTAAAGAAACATCTGACATGAACTGTTTTCGCGTTCCCTTATATTTTTCTCACAGGATCACTGGATCTTTGATGTCAATTTCACATTCCTCTCCTTCACCCACTACAAATCTAGTATTAACAAAATTCCAAACACTGAACACATGCCTTCTTCCTGATTTTATCTTTTCAGTCAATTTACTAACGACGACATATTAAAATTCTGTATTTAATACCAAATTTTAAAGGTTCAATCACCTGTGTGTTACGTTAATCTTTTAAGTTACTCATTAAATGACAAGCAACTCGTCTTGTCAAATGATAGTACACAAAATGCGAAATATTTTATAAAAATGATGGGATAAAGCCAGAAATTACTTGTTTGAATTATTACTATAACATTATATATATTACATTTCCTGTAAATCGGAAAAAAACAACTATCCAATGTCCTTGTGATTGTACAAAGTTAAAAACAAATGACGATTTCTTAGTACCTCTCTAGCGCTTTCACCTCTTTAGAGGCTCATCAGGGGGATACATTTCCTGTATTAACATATTGGAAATCTTTCAATGCCTGAAATGGGACATCATTTGATGTCCACCAGACGATTAGTTAATAAGTAACGTAAAAATACATTACGACACCCTATCGTTACAATAATTCTGTTGATGTATAGTGCAAGGCATATGAGTTCGACTTGAATGAAAAAATCTCTTCCTGTTTCTGTTTACGTAACGCATACACTGAGTGCAATGGGGACATTCTACAAAGTTTATGAAGCGTATACTTGTTTACTGAATATACTAGTTCTTTATTTACAATATATGACGTAGTAACACCCAGCAATAGCAGTATCCTTCTCGTCCTTTAACATATAAAATTAGGACAATCAAGTCGATTTGGTGAATGGACCCATGATTACGGTTCTGTCTACTCCGGAAGAAGAACACATAAGACCATGAGGGGCAGAATCAACCGGATGAGATATATGGCTTTTGTAATACTGGTGGACTATATCATCACAGGTAAACCCAATGCGGAAGTAAATTCTTGTTAAGGTGATCACTCCGTAAAAATGTATTTGCTGTGTTTATTTAGCTTGATAGCAGTATAGGTAAAGTAACTTTAACTGGTGTCTACGAAAAAGGTGTTGGGATACAACAGCTGGCATTAAATATCATTATTCTGCAGGCTATACTCGTATCAGTCTCTGTCAGATTATCGATATAGCAGTCATATAAGTTGCTATGTTTCATATATACTTTGTAAGTTTTTCTCGGTTTGGCTTTTTTCTTTATAATTTTGGGGTTAAATCTGTACAAACATTTAGACTATATGCATGTAGGCATCCTTTTCGCTTTAAAGTGGGAAACATTCGCACATAAGCACCTTCAAGTCTGTGTAGTTTGATATTATATATTTGCTGATGTAATGGGGATACTACAAAATGTATTGATAGGTTTGAGATGAACAGAATAAAACAGAAGTTGAAGAAGTACTAGAACAGAGTGTAACCATGTCATGTATTGTGCATCACATCCATTTGAAATATGTGATAAGATGCACGTTTTAGCATTTTTCTAAGTATTTTCTTCAAGTTGGTTTAAGTATGGATTATAAAAAGATTATTGTAGCATAGACAATAAGTGTTTTTATGTGACACGAGTCATTTCGGTACATATATAACAACTTATTGTACATACGCTTACAGCGTAGCAGAATCGACATCGATTTGCGGGGACAACGCGTACAATCTTACACCTTTATGTACATACACTTCGCTGGTCATTTGTCTGATGGAGGTGATAGAGTACATACCATACTAGTCATCGAAACGACGCATATAAACACTTATTGGTTGTGCTACATGAATCTTTTCAAAACGTTTAAATATTTTAATCAATCACACGCTAAGGTTTAGTTTAGCCTAGGACAGTCATGTGTCGGTGCCAAAAGATAAAAATATAAAAGTGTTAAGGATTTGCGATGTACTTACAGTTTGATATGCATTTTGACTTTCTATATGCATAAATGGCTATGATATCCTCGATGTCCAGGGGTTTCGCTCACTTTCGCTCTCTACACTTCTAGAATATGTCGTAGCAAAATCGAAGGCTAAGTGTGCATCACCTTGTGGATTATACAAGAAGACTTGTCTGATCTATAGATGTACATCAAAAGTTTCTGTCGATCGCATAACAGTAAAATTGGTGTGAGTATAACCTCTGAAGTATCGAGGATGTGACTATATCTAATGCTCACTTTTCTATTTTCTTAATCATTATTCTGTTTGAAAAAAGCAGGACACAATGGACATTGTGATTGTTAGTAATGATAGATATTGATTGCAGGCATCGATGCTACCATATGTGCTGATAAAGCTAATTCAGATGGATTTACTAACGGTATGTATAGCGGATGTTGTAGTATTCTATGTACGTACAAATAAATTAATATTTTTGTTGAAATATGCAAAAGAAGGTAACGATAGATTTATAAATTGAATCAGAATATTTAGATGTATTTAAAGAGTAAATCTTAAAAAAAAGGAAAAATCTGATTTCCTCATAGTGCGCAAAATTCGACCCATATTGTATAAATGTTGTCAGAAATTTTCATCTTTAAAACAGATTGGAGATTCAACTTCAAAAGCTTTACAATTCTAGTTAATAACAGTATTAGGCAATTGACATTGACATGGTATATAGTTGATATAGTAAGATTATTGTTTCTGATCTTGAAGTAATTTGCTTCAATTGAAAAGAAAAATGAAAACAAGAGATTGACATTACAAAATAACAATAAATCAACACAACACTAATGAATCGATATGTAGGAGTGGGACAATGATAACTTCTCATTCTAGACTTTATGTTTGGGTAGAGGTAGAAAGATATCGATACTTTAGGCTCTCACCGAACATCATCTGTTTAAACATTTACTTGATTTAATGAATTTGATCTTACAGTGTTGCCGATGTGTAGGAGTGGATCACTGACAGCTGGACGTGTGGTGGTAGATACGAACGACACAGGAGTGTTAGACTACGACAGTTGTCGGTGTACAGTTAGTCTAAGTGGGACTAATACAGGTCCTGTCAACTTACAAACTGGACCTTATCCTGGAACAGCGCCGGCGTCTGATTGTGGAAGCATCCTTAGATTTAACAGACATCCTACTAATACTTATACTGAATATCAATGTACACGGCTTAGTGGTGATATCATTAGCAATTTTGCCAACAATGAACTGTTAAATATAACTTTGTCGAAAGTCAATAACAACACCCAGTTGCAGTCCGGGTACTGCATACTCATTAAATCAGGTAACATAACGGCTTACTTATAAACAGATTTACATTCACTCTGTATTTGCATGAAATACGTTTTACAAACACCTTATCGCCTGTTTAACTCCTCCAACAAACAATAAATTCAATTATCTAATAATTCAGATTCGTCTGAGCATCATCAACGCTAGGAAATTTACGATAATAAATATCTATTTAAAAATCTTGCTAACAGTCAACAAACTATTTAAAGCTGACAGGTGTCTTAGTAGCATGTATCATAATGTTAGCTTTTCGACAGTTGTGCACCTATTTACAACATATCATTATCAAAAGAAATAATATCAATCCTCTTAGAATATTATTTAACAAAATGTAGAATCAATCATCAATGTGCGTTGCATATAAACCACTAGTAGGTACGATTTCAAAAAATCAAATTAGTTAAAATACACGTTTATATACGTTCTTAAAAAACATGTTTTAGAAACGTTTAAACGTTTGTACGACTTTTGGGTATGATAAATAATAACACATTAAAATAACTGTAAATTTATATTTCTTTGTTTTTTTTATGTTGCATTTTCTGACAAACATTGCCTTCTTAATTACACAAAGGCCAGAATAATACCAGATGTTAATGTTTCAGAATAACATTTGTGTTCATTTTTCCTAAAAAAAATATTAATATATATATTGCACATTCAAACTGCAAGTACATTGATACACATCTTAATTGAAAGAGTAACAACGTTAAAAGCTAATTTGACGTCCTCTCCACACGGCTTATTTATCAATAAACGTCAGATCTACAAATTAATGGCATAAATTATGACGAAATTTCATTAAAATAAACGGTTGTAATGTATAACAAAATATATTTGGTATTTGGATTGGTATCTTGTCACAGGTGTGAACTTAAGGGTTACGTGTGATTCACCAGATACATTACTTGCATCATCTACTCCTGAAGCAGTAATGACAACAACAACAACAACAACAACAACGACATCAACAACGATGACGACGCCACCAACAACGATGACAACAACCCCTGTTGACGTCAAATCGGGATGTTGTAAATGTGACCAACCTACTATCCCGTTGGGTATGTATATGGGAACATATTTAGCTATCCCGATATAATTTTGTTTTTGCCTATTTCCCATGTAAATCAAAAAGAAATACAAAAAATGTTCATATCATAATCCATAACTTAGAATATGCGGTTCAGAAATAACAGTAATATCATTAGAAGTAATGTTTAAATGTTAAAATCAAAATGACAAAACATAAATTCGTATTCAGATGAAAACAACCTTCATTAGTTTGTCGTGAATGTGTCTTGTGTTACTTGTTTATAAAGTTAGATATCTTAAAACTAAATTCCACGAATAAAGAAGAACAGTAAATCTCTTGTTTTCCCTACGTACAGTACCAATATAATTGTTTGTTGTTTGTTAAATGACGCTTGAAAACAAATGTTGTGCGACATATGGACACAATTGTAATGGATTTTTGATATGCTTATATTTGTACCATGACCAAGAACAGATATAAATTTAATATCCAGGTGAATAGTGGCAACTCGTATATATTTACTACTTTTGCTGTCTTCACTGGTCACACAGAAACGTCACACACAAACACTAACTGATTAAGATTTATAACCTTTCTAAAATGCATACTTACTATCCTCAAGACAATGATTAGAAATAGAAACGGGTGAAACAGTGATTAACGCCGTGTACGATAAATATCTATGTTAACAAACAATAGAAGTTTGAATATGAAACATATTTCTTGGCACTTGGCATGTTTTTTTGCTTTATTTTGACGAGCACAGATATTTAATGCAATGCGACATACGTTGTAAAAATTATGTTGTAAATTCAAAGGGGAACCAATGGGTTTCTGTTTCATTTTAATATTTTAAAAAGCAAGGCTTTTTGTGGTCTTAATAGCAGTTCCCGTTTCTCTGTCACGGCTGATTTGAACCAAGTATATCGCTTATGTAAGTATATACGTCATGAAATATTTTATATTATATTTTATAAAACCAAATTAGAATTAAAACACAGTTTAATTCGAGAAGTTTTTTTTAATCAATAAAACATGATGTTTGTTGTTGAGATTTACAGAGAAATCATCAATTATTCAGTAAAAAAATAAGTTAATATTATTTGCATTGTGAATAGGAAGATAACTTATATCATCGTTCACGTGTTTCTATATTTTGAACTAATTTTCCCAGCATAAATTGAGTGTTCTTTGACGTCTTTTTGATTAAATGATTAATTGATACCAATAACAAACCAAATTTATAAATGGCCGCATGTCGTTGGTTTTTCTCCGGGTACTCCGGCTTTCCTCCACCACCAAACCCTGGCACGTCATCAAATTGCCATAGCTATATTGATAAGATGTAAAACACAAACAAACAAAACAAGAAAAACTAAAGTATCGGATGGCAGGAAGTAAATGTGTGTTTGGCTCGTTTAGACATGAGACAAGAAACTAAGTGTAACGACCACATATTAAATTTAACAAACTTGGTAGCCCTTCATCCCAGCATGTTGCCAAATAGCATAACCCTAGGCCTCTTAGTTATTAAGAAGAAGTTGTATAAAGGTTTTTAACATATTTGACCCCCATGACCTTGAAAATAGGTGAAGGTCATTTATTTTAAAAACTTTATAAATGGCCGAAGGAACAAGGAACTAGGTGAAATGAGCTACTATTCAATATAATATCTTGCTTTAACAGGGAATGTAACTCCGGTCGTCTTGATCGACGATTCTGTTATATTTATGATTAAATCGTAACTCATTAATTCTTCGTTATCCCTTTCAGTCGGTGTCGTTGTCCCCATAGTGGTGACCTTACTGGTGGTAGCGGTGGCCACGGTCGCTAATGTGATTCTGTACAAACGGTAGGTAGAGGTGAACAAACGGTAGGTAGAGGTGAACAAAGACTAGTGCATCACTAGTGAAAGACATTGTTTACATGTAGGCGGATTATATATTTATTCAGTCAAATAATAAATAGCATAGTTCTGGTAGTTGTAATATAAATATCAAAAATGCCAAAGCTTATATTTTGTCCTTTACAATATAGAGTTTGTGAACTAGAAAATCCTTTTGAAAACAATCATTATGTCTGACATTAATTTGATAGTATATTGTAAACCAGTGAAGATGACAGTTATATTTCATCACCGATATTCTACTTCATCGGAAACTATATTTGCAGGCGTCTTACGATGGTGAATGAACTGAAATCTGGATCCCATGTCATGACCTCACAAGACACTGTCCACTATGACAGTCTTGACCAGTCACGTGTTGAACCCCCAAATACGTACGAGGAAATGTCCACGCGACAAACCTACGTCAATACGGCGATGAGTACTTGAACATGATAGCTTCGTGATCAGTTAGTAGTTGCTTGCCATTGCTACAGCAGACATAGGAAAAGAGATATAAACATTTTAAACCTTAAACATTTTATAGAAAGAAAACAAACTACCAATGAACATAGTCCAAGTTCCATCTTTTTCATAGGGGGATATTTCAACCAGTGCAATTAAGAAACCATTGCTGAAAATGTTTTGGGCGAAAGCTGCTTTGAAAACATGATAAAACAAATACCACTGATAAAAATGCTGGTTGACCCTCTCAGTATTCCAAAATACATCTGGAATAAAATATAACATACGATAAATATGAAAATACGACGCCCAATTGTACAGTGTTGGTGAATTACCTCGAGTGCCAAGAGGACCAAAGGAACTGACAGGTCGGAACATCTCAACAGACATTACAACAGAAGCGTTTGAACTCTGATCTAGTTAAACTAGCATTGACAAAAAACCGAGACATGAAAATGCTATTTCTTATAATACATATTATATAACACAGGCTATTTCCGTGCAATATCGCCGTTCAATAAAAACAATATAGCACACAAACAATAGACATAGATTGATGGCTGTGGCATAGGCATTGTGAAAGAATAAAATTAATAAACGAACACGAGTGTTAGAGTTAAACACATACAACAACTGCATGTTCAAATTCCACCTTAACTTCTCCGACACACACATAATCAATTGTGACCTCGTGTAACCGGTCAACGTCATCAGTGTTCCAGTTTCATGGCGGACTCCACAGTATATTATCTGGTTCAGTGACAGGCGGAAACATCAAAGTTAATATCCATCAACAAACCTAGGAAGAAACGCGTCCATGTTATAGGAAATGACAGTCGGTGTAAACTAGTAAAAAGTTCCGACTTCGATCTGTATTGTGATGACCTTTACTTTGACAGTGCACGCGCCGTTTTGCCATATATGTGACGTCATTACTATTTTCGTAAACGTCAATCTGTTGAATGGTTTTAGTATAAAAAAAATCATTATTCATGTTGTTATGATAATCATTAAAACATTGATTGATGAAAAGAAACCTAAATCATTGTTGGTTCATTTGAATGGTTCTCATTGAAACGTTTCTGGAACTATTGTTGTGACGCAGCTAGCTCCAAACATAATGCATGTGGAACGGTTTATGTTTCTCTTTCTATCCCGTTGTTGTCTTCATCTTTGCGCTGATATTCTATATTGTTTGACAAATCCTAACAAGAACTGCGATTCCGATACATTTATTAAACAGCACATACATGAATAAATGTCAAATTACATGGCCATTAAGAGTGGAATACGATTTGTTATGTAGCCACTCGTAATATCTCGCGCTGGTGTAAAGGCACATAACAGTCGTTTTACACTTCCTGACGTACCCGGCGTACCTGACGACAAACCGTGCACGTCACCCTCGCCGCAGCCTCCACCGTAATCTCGCTTAACCAGACGCTTGATCACTTGTAATTCAAGAGTCTGGTCAAACACAGGACTTTAAAATTACCAGAGTGCAGTGTTTTTACTTTCGTATTCTGACGTTATGTCAACGCCATTAAACATTTCACTGAATAATGAAATTAAAAAAAAAAAATACCTATGCATGCATTCCTAAACTACCCGTGTATTCACTATAATCGGAACAATGTAAGAAAATGTGTCAAATCTCCAGAATAATGCCATCTATTTCCACTGAATAAATCATAACTAAGCACAAAGCCTACAAGGCTGACTGAAGTTTGGAAAAAGCACGAAAACAAGTGAGATTTCACCTGTACACTATTCAAAACACCCTCAAGTTCTCACTCAGGTAATTTGGCTTCACTTGTATCAATAGCCTTGTTAGCTTCATGAATTATTGTAAAATATCCAATGAAAAAACATGAAATCATTCTTTTTGAAGCATTTTCTTCCATTTTTCTCGTTAATAGTGAAAACATTGATACTTCAAGAATGTATATACAGGTACCTTTTTCATGAATTAAAATATTCAATGTAATTTTGGGCCACTACAATTTTGACTTCAAAAAGTGAAAATGGTGTGTCAACCTTTGACCAATGAGATAATTTACCAGAATCCTGGTAAGCCTCGTTATGATGTCACAAAACGAAAGCACTGGGTTTGACCAGACTCTCTGTTCGGCATAGTTTGCGCAGGCAACAAGTAAAGGTTATTGCATGGTGTTCGAGTAACAAGGGATTTATTACATCCGAGCGAAGCGATGGTGTAATAAGTCCCGAGTGACGAGAAATCATGCAATAACTGGCATACTGCCTGCTTCCCAACTCGAACAAAACAGAAAAAATGAGTAAAACATGTTTACCTGGACAATCTTTTTACCTACCCTACACTGCAGATAATTTACATCTACCTGTGTGAGTGAGTACTAATCACAACCAGGTAAGATTATCTTTATTCTCAATAGCCCAGTTTGAGTGTATCCTTCATAATGGATACAAGTGTTTTGCATTACTTTATCCAGCTCCAGTGTCAGGGAAGGTAAGGAGTGTCTGTTCAACAATTAGAACAAAATACGGAAAACAATGTTGAATTTCTGACTACATTTTCAGTTTAATTTTCAAGATGTGGTAAAGGTACAGGATTTTGAAACAATTTTCATACATACAATGCAAGGGTTAAACAATCTTCAAGGAATTCCAGTTCTTTCAATTAATGGTATATTTGAATGTGCAATTTTGTATAAAGGAACAGCTCCTAAAGATTCTAAACTTTTCCAGGAAATGCTTATCCTCTCATGTGTTTGTTTTTGTTTGTTTTTCAATCATGAAATTACCATTTTTAGCTTTTTTCTCTTTTCTTATTTTAAATGTGTCAACTAAGTTTATCCTTTCCACTGTATTGACTTCATCGTTACTTACTGATTGATTATCTCCCCTTTCTTACAGCATTTGTGACCACAGTCCACTGGGCACATCCCCTTTCATGGTCAGGTAATCATGATTGGCCTTGAAAGGGGATTATGTGTGCAGTGGACAGTGGAAGCAAGTGATTTATTGCCCACTTTTTTTTCCATTGTGAGAGGTGGGAAATATGCAGTAAGAGTCTGTTTGAACGTGATTACCTCCACCGTCACAGTTATCCTCACTACACCGATTGTCTCGTACAATGGTTCATTTCAGTTCCAGGTCCGCTGCTCGAGAGAGCGTGTAGACCTGAGATAGCCTACATTATAAGTCGTAATCCTATACAAGTTACATTACAGACCATACACATTTAATACAAATACAGGTAAACGTTATACGCAATATTATGGTGTTACGGTTATTCATGCAATATCGTAATCTTACGTACGATGTCGGGATTCCTAAAATGACCTTAGATGTTAATAGGACGTTAAACAATATAAAATCAACCAAACCAAACCAGAAACCATGTCGGAATTCAAAGAAAATTAAGTCGCCTAGACAATCCAAAGATGAACAAGTGACTATTTTTTAAATATTTCTCCTCCGTATTGTAACAGATGAAACAAACAGTGCATTATAATGTATATTGTTCCGCTCTGATGAGTAAATAAAGCGGGTACGGTTTTTGACTGAATACATAACAGCTATATTTAATATACAAAACTACATACGGTAACTTCCTATTTCCCAACATCATTGCATATCAGCTTAATTTTCAGATATCGAAGTTAAATTATTACCAGGAAAATTATTACAATTCTCTGCCCTTTGAGAAAAGTAAAGATCAGATGAGTTATATATACTTACGTTTGATGTCAGAATTCCTCAAAGACCTTAGTTGTTAATAAGACGTGAAACAATATAAAACCAACCAAACTGAATACACAAACGCTATATTTAGGATACCGTTGTATATTAAAGATATCGAAGTTAAATTAGCAATATCATAACAATTCTCTGCCCGCTTGAGTACGTGAAGCCATGATCGATCAACAGGAGAAAGTCACCTTACAGGGATACATGTATATGGTGGTGTTTGTGTACTCCTATATTACAGGTAACACGAACAAGGAATAGGGAGGTAAATACATGGGATATATTTCTCGTTGATTTTCCTACCACGATGTTCTAAGACGAAATATACATTATTCAGTATGTATATAACGAAGTTTGCCCAGTATCGATTAGGATGTTATTTATTGGTTTCAATAATGAATGATAATCATAACATTATAACGTTTTAGGTCATACATTATTTCTCGTTTGCTCATTGTTTGTTGGTAATAACAACAGGACAGAGGACGAAATACATTTCCTTTATCATTGCTTCATCAATGCATTATTTCTTCAATAGATCAATCATAATTGCGCTAATAGATCACATACACCATTGAACACTGAAATGTGGGTGTGCTTTATATAAGAGCATTAAGTATATAACAATTTAAAAATGTTAAAATACAGATCTGCCTAAAAGAATAAAGAGTGTAAGAGTAATTGATCGCAATAGTCCAGAATGATAGACTTATTTGTGTCCGTCGTTCGCTTCAGTTTTTTCGTGTAAATTAGGTATCACTTAATTCTGTAACTGATATAGTCTTTGTCATTGCAGTTTTGTAAAGAACACCATTAATTTGATTTCCAGGCTTGACCATTTTGTTATTGAATATTATAAAAGACTATATCTATTATAAGTGTTAACACAACGGCATGTACTGACCGGACTGGTTTGGACAACTTCTGCCCCGGTATGGTGATGTATCGTAAATCAGAATGCGTATATTATTCACGGATCGAACGACATGCAATGTTAAGATCTGTTGATGCTAGGTTCTATGACAGAAGACTAGTTTATCCTTTCCCTGAATTAGAATAAATGCAATAAAATACAAATTCCTAACTATCCCAGGATATAACTTAACATAATTATGTTGAAACGTGTTCTGACCGTGCTTTGTATTATATTTGCAAAAGTTGGAGAAAATTATCATTGCTTATATTATGGAGTGTTTCATGTTTCGTCAGCAGACCCTGATATTCTAGCTCCCTTGATTACGCGCTTGTCCCCAGGTGCAGCTTCAGGTCATCTTTACTAAGTCGTATGCCAATTCAAAACATCCCATGTCTGTCATGTTATTGTAGCATTCAGTCAAGATAACAAGAAAGAAAAATTGAATTATCCATTGATTACGTTTTGCTCAATTTAGAATCCCTCTTGATTTAGATGGTTAATTAACATGGAAATCACTAGAAATGCTTACAAAATGAAAATTCATCAACTTCTGTTATTAAAACGACTTTATAGAAACCTTTTTTAGACCAATAATTCATGCAATGTGCCACGTTTTTTAATTTCAAAACATTTACATTGCTAGATGCATTTATTGGTATAAGTAATAAGTTGTTGTCATAATCTTCAGCAATGATTGCTCAAAGCTTCACGGAACTCTTTAGCATCTCACTGAGACATAACACCTTAATATTCATTTCTTCACTGAGACAACATCAATTCTTTAATAGCATATACATACATAAATATTTGAATGACTAAGTAACTCCATATTTTTATTCGTTGACAAAACATGTAAGATAGGTTCATATGAAATAAGGGTTTGAACACTTGATCAAACAGCCATATTTGTATTTCTGTTCCGTTATACACTAACTGGGTGCAAGGCAATGTACCGCTGCGTTCAAATAGCTTTAACATGTTTTGATGAATACACCAGTGCTATATTTAGTCTACAATAACATTCAATAGGAACGTTCTACGGTTACTTCCTTCTTGCCGGTATTGATGTATACAATGTACCAGCTGGACTTTTGAACACAGAAGTTGAAGCTTTGACCCAACGTCATGTCACAATTCCCTGCCCTTTTTTAAACAGCGAGGGAAGGCATGGACAGTAGACGAGACAGACTCAATGTACTGGGATATACGTATACGTTGGTGATTGTGCACGCCTATATTACAGGTAATGCGAACAAGGAAGTAAAATAAATAAATAGACGTATTTTTATTGATATCCGTGTTTTAAGAGTAACACATCCTTCATTAAGTATGTATACTATAGAATATGGACAGCATTGATTGGGGTGTAACATATCTGACTTCAAAAGGATTTGTATTATTATATCATTAATGGTTTTATATACATATGCATGCGTACATTGCTCATTGACTGATCAGTTGTAAGTAATTGTACAAGGAGGACGTGTTATTGTGTTTAAAGTTTAGGCGTATTCCTGAGATATGTACGTAGATGTTAGAGGAGGCTAGATATACACACTACCAGTAACCTACACTCTCTATCGATGGTCGAAATGTCCCGGGTCGAGTGACATAAAAATATACAATTCCGTCATACCGTTGTAAGGTAAACAATACAAATTGCTCACTCGATCATAGCTTTACAAAGGGACCAGTCGGTCTTGAAACGTTGCGACACATTTGATACGTACATTATTTTTGTATAAAGTAAAACTTTGGTATAATATATTTGAATTCGTATTATTATATTTAGTTGAAACTCAAAGAGACATGCATTGCAGTTTAAAAACAGTACCGTTAATTTTACTGTTATTTTCCCCAGCGTGACTTACAATTATTGTCTCGCTATATGTATTATTACAGAGTATCTGTTGTAGGTGTCAACACAACGGCATGTACTGACCAGACTGGTTTGGACAACTTCATTTACGGTAAGGTCATGTTGTATTATAGATGTCGATACAAATATCATACTTTAGTATACAATTATTTCCATATTATCCTTTATCAAATTTTCAATCAAGATCTTTGTTAAAATGGAACCAATATGAAGTCCTTGCGTAGTTATAAAAGGGACACTGGTTTTTTTTTACATTTCGCAACTTTTAAAATTCTTGAGAAGAATTTCCATTTTGTGTACAAGTATTTATGACATAATCAACTGGTAACTGTTAAATCACATATATGTATAGATTGAGGACATCATTATCAATACATAGTACAGGAAATATCTGCTATTCCTGCTATAATTACATACAATGTATGTGAAAAGTCACAAACTCTCCTCTAACGCATTAAAAGATAGAAAACGGCACCAAAACGTCTCTCCTAGGTCATATTTCTTTGCGTATTTTCTAAAGAAAACTGCTTTACTAAAATGTTTCAATTTCAACCATTGAGCTTTTCCCCATGGCTTATCTGTAGATTCTGTAAGTCAATGCAATCATCAAGCGGCCGAGGTTCATTTTGTGTACAGATCTGATGGCTCAAAACCTTATTAAAATTAAGGGTTAGCAACACCAATTTTCAAAATATATGTGTTTTTTTTTGTTTAGTTGGGAACTGAAAACTACCCTAGATTCTGCAAATTAAATCGAAAAAATAAAGGTAAATATCGTATAAGGTAAGTTTCTTCTTTTTTCTACACTATGGCATGAAATCAGTTGCATTTAAGAAAGACAATTACAAGCTATATCTAACTGTAATACATGTAGATCCCGACATGGCCTTGAAGCGTCATTCTGACGAGTCATCATACATGGCTGTTTGTTTTGACTTACTTGGACTGATTTCACATTATTGTAATGTGTTGGTGCGTTGGTTAAGTTTTATTGTTCCAGCGCAACGGCTTCGGCGGTACAGTCATTCAGGAGACCAAAGATTAATTTCTGTTGATTTTTGAAAACGATAACACAATGGCAAAACCAATATAATAAATAGATAAATTAAAATGATGATATTGTATGACTTAGTCGACAGAAAAATGAATATACATATATGTATCTATAGTAAGTAACGTTAATGGTTACTGCGCGTTACGGGTGAGTGCATCTAATACAGCAAATGAGTATGATCAGTATGAACCTCAATAAAGGATAGATATGTGTTAAAACGCATCCATTACCCGTAACACTTTGAAGGTCGTTCAGCAGATCTGAAATGGTAATATTACTATGAAACATAAATTTAAACTTTCTTCATTACATATTTTGTTTACATGAAGTGCGTATAAATTAATGTCAAATGCTACGGGTTTTGTTTTAATAATTATTATTTTTTTCAGTCCTTTACATTTTTCAAGAACAAACAATTGGCAGTTTTTGTTCTATATGTCAACCATTTTTCCTTACTTGCAAATTTAATTTTCAGTGTTGTTTTCTTTTTAGCTATAATCGTTCAAGTCATATCACGACGAAAGTTCAAAACAGTTAAATGAGGAATGAAAAAAAAGTGTTGTAAAATAAAACATAGATAAACAGACAATTTTCATGTATATAATTGAACCGACTTTTAACAGAAATCCTCGCGAGAGCGTTAAGCCCCTATCTCACATTCATGAATCTGAACACGAATGAATACGATTTAACGTTTTTCCTTAAATCGTGTTAGAACATATGAAGGTCGCGCACTCATTTGAACAGAAATTTAACAGAAATTCTCGCGAGAGCGTTACGCTGAAGGTGACCACCTTCGACGAAAATAATAATCACTACAATAACAACCGACTATAAAGACTTTCACAATTAATATCTGCGTATCTATTATAATTTTCTAAATCGACGCAACTTATTTATTCCATTCCACAAGAAATCATCTGTTTGCAGCCGTATGAAAAGTATTCTGTTTTTTATCTTTTTTTATCAAAGTAAAACGGATGTGTACGAGCGGAACATTGCGACAATCATCTGTTGTGATAGACACTTGGAACACGGGAGGTTTGGATATATACAGCTGCACATGTACAGTTACACTTACCGGATCAGCGTCACCTACAGATACAACAACAGTAGTAGTGCAGGAATATCCGAGGATAGCACCATTGAAGAACTGTGGAAGTATACTTAGGATTTCTTCTACCAAATCAAGTCTGTTTAATGAAAATGGTTGTGCCCCTGTCTCTAATTATCCAACAAATAATTTCGGGACATCAGACACATTGACACTGACGCAATCAAGGGAAGACGTCAGTACAGCGTGGACATCAGGACATTGTCTATACATCACTTCACAAGGTATGTATTGTTTCGGTATAACGCTACTATTACATATTGAGTATGTTGGCATAACATGCTTTCTGAAATACAAGGTATTTACCAATTATTAAGTAAAACAGTTTTTGTGGCATAAATAATGATATCATAAGCACAAAACTCAGTCAAATGAATAAGCATTCATGATCTTCATTTGTACTCTTTACTTTATCAGATGACAAAACAAATAAGCATATGTGTAGCCATAAACCATACTAAAAATAAAACTTTTCAGCATTTCGAGCAAATACTGAACTATTTCGACTTTCTTACAATATGTGTTTTTATTCTACACTAATAATATTGTTAATGATATAAATTGTTAAACAGTTGATTGAGGATGTAATGAAACGATCAATAAACATTAAATTTTGGATGACAATATCTTAACGTGTCAATAGGGTCTGCCTACTTTGGTCTTATTGTGACTTGTAATGAAGCACAAGGGAAAACTAATCAATCAACGACGACGACCATCACTACAACCACCCCTACAAACGCTGAGTACGTACCAACCACAACTGTTCAACCATTCACTACAACCACAGCCACTTATNACAAAGGAGACAACCGCTAACTCAAGGGAGACAACAACCACCACTAACATCAATTCTGGATCGACCACATTAGGACGAGAGAAATGTGTTCAAGAATGTCATCCTCAACAGGGATACCCATTAAGTATGTATATAAATGTAGCGCTGTCAAATAAACTTATTTATTTGGAGTTCTAATTTTCTTTTGCAGAATAAGATGTTTAGCTTTGACAAACTTTGTCTCCCCAGATATATCTCTTTCACTCAATGACAGAATGGATTGAAGGTCAGAGTAACAAAACGAAATTGTGAAAATCTATTGAGTTATCTGTTGCGTAGTCAACGAAAAGTAGTTACACAACAATTGAACATTTAGGTATGAAATGTCGTGATTACATTCAA